CCCTTTGCCCTATCCTGCCCCTGTATCCTGACCCCTCTCCTACCCCTAACCCTCCATCCTGCCCCCCCGCCCCCGCCCCCCGTTCTGTTTTGCAGTCACTGTGTCCATGAGCTCTTTGCCCGCGTTCCTCCCACCCATCACTTTGCCCCTGAGCAGAGGGAGCCGCAGGTCAGTATCTGGGGGGGGCCGGGGGGGCCATTTCCCCCTCGCTGCCCCCACCCACCACTGCCCCCGCTTCCCGGCCCCCACCTCCGCTCGTCAGGACCCTGCTGTGGGGCCTTCTCCTCACTCTTTTTTCTCCTTGATCCCCCTTTTTTGCACCCCCCTCACAGAGAGGTTACCCCCCTAATGCCCCTGCTCCCCCAGCTAGGCGGGGCCCCCTTTCACCCCCATTTCAGGCTCTCATCCCCTCGCTCCTTCCCTCTTTCTTTCTTGTCTTGTCTCCATCTGCGCCCCACCCACGCCCCCCACCCTCTGTTCCCCCATTTCCCCCTTGAGTCCTGTCTGGGGGAACCTGTCTGGGTGGCAGCAGGGACTGGGACTCCCATGGGGACAAAAGCACCATTGGGGTGACCCCCATGGCTCTGTGCCAAGGTTGGAAGTCACCTGGTAGGCACTGAGGGGTGACCCCCAGGCAGTGACCCCCTCAGGGATGAACCACCAGCCAGTGACCGTCCCCCCCAGGATGACCCCCAGGTAGTGATCCCCCAAGGGATGATCCCACAGGTGTGACCCCTAGTCAGTAATCCTCTTGGAGTGAAAACCCTGGGATGACAAACCAGGGGTGATGCCCAAGGGATGACCCCCAGACAGTGACATGCCCCCAGGGGTGATGCCCCCCAGGAAGGAATGACACCCTCAGGGATGACCCCCCCCTCAGGCTAGTGTCCCCTAGGCAATGACCCACTCCAGGTGGGATTCTCCCCAAGGGTAACCTCTCTGGGTGACCCCCCAGGTGGTAGGGATCCCCCAGGAGTCCCCCAGGGGTGATGCCCCAAGGCTGACCCCCCTGGCAGGGATACAGAGGGGTTGCCGTGCACAGCACCCACAAATCCAAGGTCACCACTTGTTTTTGTCAGTTCCCCCCTGGGTGCAGTGAGGGACAGGGGGGCTGGTTTGGAGGTGCAGGTTGTGGACAGGGGTTGTGGAGGTGGGGGAGCAGTGTACCTCTGACCCCCCTCCATTTGCATGCAGCCACTGCATCCAGCAGATCCTGGAAGCTGTCCTGCACTGTCACCAGATGGGGGTGGTCCACAGAGACCTCAAGGTAAGTGTGTCCCCCCAACCCCCATTTGTTCCTCTGCCCCTCTCCCCCTGCCCACTTCTTGGGGTCCCCACAACCTGGGTGTGGCCCTGGCCGGGTAGATTCTGGGGAATCACTGAGATCTTGCTGGGCTTGGGGGATCCCCTCAGCTCTGAGCTCTCCCATCTACCTTTTCTGGGGATGCACGTGTCCCCCAGTTGTGGCACTGTTCCGTGCTGCTGGGGGTTCTCACTGCAACCCCCCAGTCACCATTGCCCCAGGAGGAGTGTGAATTGGTGGGGATGGGGGCATGGGGGTGGGAGCAGCTGGAGCTTGCCTGGAAGTGTCAGGGCAGGACACGGGGCGATGCTGGGATAGGGGGGATGCTGGGATGAAGCCAACGAGACATGAGATATCCCTGAGCTGGCCATGGGGCTGTGCCATCCAGCACCCTTAGCCATTGGCAGAGGGCACCCACAGCCACAGCCCCACAGCAGAGAGCCAGCTGATGGGCAGAACCTGGTCAATGGCAGCAGTAAAGTCCCTCTAATTGCCCCATCCCTCCTCTCTCACCCACCCATGTCTGTGCCCGGTGCTGTCCATGCCTGGTGCTCCCTGTGCCCGGTGACCGCATAGCCGGAGAACCTGCTTCTGGCCAGCAAGTGCAAAGGGGCAGCAGTGAAGCTGGCGGACTTTGGCCTTGCCATCGAGGTGCAGGGGGATCAGCAGGCCTGGTTTGGTGAGTGCTGCTACCCCCCTGCCCACCATAGCCCCAGCCCCTGCCCACTGTGTCCTGCTCACCATGTCCCTGCGCTGTCTGCTGTGTCCCTCCACGTCCACTGAATCCCTGCTCTGTTCCTACTGCATCTGCTCTGTGCCCACCGTGTCCACCCCTGCCCAGCACATCCTGCCCCATGCCTATGTCCCAGTCCTGTGCCCTGTCCTTGTCCCCTCCCATTGTGGCTCACCTGGCTGTCCTCACCCATCTCTCTGTCCCTCCCAGGATTTGCCGGCACACCTGGCTACCTGTCCCCTGAGGTCCTGCGCAAGGAGGCCTATGGCAAACCGGTGGACATCTGGGCATGTGGTAAGAGCCAATCCCTGCCCAGTCCCTGCCTGGTCCCTGCCCCTTCTCTGCCCCCATCCCAGACCTGGACCCAGTCCCAGTCCTGAACCATGCCCCATCCCTGCCCCACACCTGCCCTAATCCCTGCCCGATGCCTGGCCAATCCCATCCTAATCCCTGCCCCATCACTGCCTGGTCCTGTTCTGATCCCATCCCACTCCCATTCTGTCACTTGCCAGGCTCCATTCTAGTATTCTCCCATGCCCATCTTAGTCTCACCCTCTTTGCCATCCCATTTCTATGTTGGTCCCAGTTCCAGTTCCAGCTCTGACCCCATCCTGGGGCCATCCTGTGCCACATGTCCTGGCAGTGCCACACTGTTCCCTGTTCATGCTGGCAGCAGAGGACAGGCCATGTTGGGAATAACTGCTTTGTCATGGGGACACTGCAGGGCCGGAGGGAGCCAGGGGTGGTTTGGGGTACCTGCACTCCCCTAACCCCACTCTCCCTGGCTCAGGGGTCATCCTGTACATCCTGCTGGTGGGCTACCCGCCGTTCTGGGATGAGGACCAGCACAAACTCTACCAACAAATCAAGGCCGGGGCCTATGATGTAAGTCTCCAGTGCCCTGCGATGGCTGGCCCATTGACTCTGGAACCTACTGAGGGATGCCACACCTAACCTTTGGCAGGCAGAGCCTGGGGGTGGCTCTGGGCCGTGTCTTTGGTGGCTGGCTGGGGATATGTAGGAGTGGAGTGATACAGATACCATGGCACTGCCCCTCCACAGCTGTCACCCTCATGTCCCTGTGCTCCCCCAGTTCCCTTCACCTGAGTGGGACACAGTCACCCCCGAAGCAAAAAACCTCATCAATCAGATGCTGACCATCAACCCTGCCAAGCGCATCACAGCCCACGAGGCCCTCAAGCACCCGTGGGTCTGCGTAAGTGCGGTGTATCCCCCCAGTGCGTGTCACCCCTGTCCAGTGACCACTGGCACCTGGTGCTGACCCCACTGTCCCCTGCAGCAACGTTCTACCGTGGCCTCCATGATGCACAGGCAGGAGACAGTGGAGTGCTTGAAAAAGTTCAATGCCCGGAGGAAGCTCAAGGTGAGGGGGCTGGTGGGGGAGGTGTGGGCTGGGGACAGTGCTTATCCCCCCAGCACCACTCTGCCTCTCCATGGGGCTCTCCTGTGGGACCCTCCCCTGTCCACTGTAGGACCTCTGCCCTGCCTTCTGTGGGACATTCCCCTATTTACTATGGTACCCCTGCCCTTCCCACTCTGGCAGCACCTGGACAGCCCATTCCTACCCCAGAACTCGTCAGGGTCTTCCTGTGCCTTTCCGTGGGGTACAGTCCCTTCCCACTGGGTGTTGTGGTCCCACTCTACTGTGCCTGGTGCTCTGCTGTGGGCTTTGGTCCCATCCCAGTGACATGGTGTGGCATAGTCCCACCCTGTCCCTGCCCAGTCTCTTGCCCCATGCCATAGCTGTAGCCTGCCCCCTCGTCCCGCAAACCCCTCTCCCAATTCCCTGTCCCATGGGCCATATCCTGTACCACCCCCATCCCATCACCCCATTTCTCCCCCTCTATCTCGCTCACCCCCATCACACCTCGCAGTCCCAGGGCCCCATCCTGCCCGTCCCACCCCAGCACCCTCTCCCCGGCTCACCCTGCCCCTCCCCACAGGGTGCCATCCTCACCACCATGTTGGCTACCAGGAACTTCTCAGGTAAGGGGGGGCTCCCACTGGCCGGGGGGGCCGGGGGCCGCAGCCCCCCCTCCATAGCCCCCCCCGGGCCGGTGCCCCCCTCTCTCTATCTTGCTATCTTTCTCTCTTTCTCCCCTCCCTTCCTTAACCCCCCCCACCCATTTTTTCCCCATCGGTGAGGACGGGGCATGTGGTAGCCAAGGTGGGGGCAGGACGCGGCCCCCCCGCCCCACGCACACAGCAGCAGGTAGTGCCCGGTCCCCGTGTGTGTCCCCCCCCCACTCCGGTGGCTGGCGGGGGGGGCGACATGGGGAGGGGGACGGAACAGCACCAGCCACCCCAGGCCAGAGGCCAGGGTGATGGGCACCCCAAGAGTTCTTGTTGGGAGGGGGGAAGGTGGGGGTCCCGGCTGTAGCCCCTCCCCGCCCCCCCTAACAGGAGCTCTGCTCCCTCTCTCTCTCTCCCGCGGCCCGCAGTGGGCAGACAGACCACCGCTCCTCCCACCATGTCGGCGGCCGCTGCCGGGGCCCCCCTGGGGCTGGTGGAACAAGGTAGACGCGTCCGCAAAGGGCCCCCCGGCCCCCCGGCCCCGCTTGGTCTCTGTGTGTCCCCAGATCCTTCATCTTCATGTCAACCTCTTCTTCCAACCATCCTCTTCCCTGCCTCCCACCTCCCAACGGGTTTCGGGTACCCTCCTCGGAAATTGGAGCGCATGCATGCCCCCCCCCCCCGGCACTGCCCCCC